TGTGTGTGTGGTGTGTGTGTGTGTGTGTGTGTGTGTGTGTGTGTGTGTGTGTGTGTGTGTGTGTGTGTGTGTGTGTGGTGACTGGACAGACCTTCTGTGCTTTGGTGTCACCCCAGAGTGTCAAGAAGTATGTGTGATTCACTCAGCAGCGCACCATCTCACCGGGGTCCGGGGTCCAGCTTGGTGAGAACTGATGGCACATTGGCTCTGGGGGGGCCAACGTTACATGGGGATCCCGTGTAATGGAAAAGACAGATTAGTGGACACACACACACACACACACACACACACACACACACACACACACACACACACACACACACACACACACACAACACACACACACACCACACACACACACACACACACACACACACACACACACACACACACACACACACACACACACACACACACACACACACACACACACACCACACACACACACACACACACAGAAGACCTGATGAAATCATGCAAGAGCATAACAACCATGTTACCCCAATGCAGTCCCATAAGATCACAAAAAAGCTGTTTCTCGCAACAACAAAACATAAAAAAATACGGCACAGGCAGGATATATGAAAAGAAATAGGGCAGGATGAAAAATAAATCAAGAAAACTGAAAAACAAAACGGCAAAAGGAAAAATCAATTAAGGAATAGACACTTTTTGCAGACTGCCAGAGGAGCTAATTCAACTCTATTTTTGGATGTTGTAGTATTTGACTTACATTAACGCTTGTTTCTACATTCTTAGTCATGATAGTGGCATGGTTCTCAGAATTGCAATCTTGGTTTGTTAGTCGGTCCACCACTTTGATCCAAACTGACATATTTCCACAAATATTTGATGGGTTGGCATGACATTTTGTACAAAGATTCAGGGTGTCCAAAGGATGATTCCCAGAGATTTCCTGCCAGCATGTCAAACTTTCAATTTTGCCTGGGAAATATTTACAGAAGTTGGCATCAAGTTTTGAACAGACATTTCGGATTTGAGAGAACCTATCAATCAATCAATCAACACTTTATTGCAGACTCAGGGTCCAGATAAAAGACAAGACATTACATGTCATAAATTACATATAATAAATTACATACACAGCATACTTTTTTTTTAATAGTTTAAGAATAATTTAAATCAGTGTCCTACAAAGAGACAACTATACCAATGTCTCCACAGCTGTGATTGGTAGCGTGTACTACACCTTATTTTTGATAAGAAGAGGATTTCATTATCAGAGTCATTAAGCCGGCAAATACATTTATACATAAGATTTCTTAAAACAGCAGTAGAGTATTGACTTCTGCAGCCACAAACATTTCATTTGCACTAGATTAGACCATCGAGGTATCTTCAGCAATATTCTCATGGCATCATTATAAGCTAATTGAAGTTTCCATAAACTTGCTTTTCTGTAGTTTGACCATAAATGTGCAGTATAGAGTGGTGTACAATATGCTCTGAACAGAGACATCTTCACTCCATCTCTACATTCACTAAACTTACGTAAGAGAATGTTTACTTGTGCATACATCATGCGGCATTGCCTATAATAGAATTATAGATAAATAGAAACTACTTTAACCTGTCATTGTTGGACACGCTTTAATTTATGTGAAAGTGTGAAACCCTTTTCTTTTGGTCAATTCTCGTTTTCTCCTGTTTATACGCCAGAGGAGGTAAGAAGCCTGTACTTTATTTTGGTTTATTTTGGTTAGGCAAGTTTAAGGAATACTCTGTAAAGACGATTTTTGTTTGTTATGTTGGGATTGTCTCGCCTCTTTTTGAGTTCATTAAACCTCAAAAAGCTGATTTCCTGTGTCATTGACCATTTCTTGGGAGTGGGAAGTGTTGGGAGAGGGCAATTGTATGCTGCGCCTAGGTTCCCCTAGATCTGGGCGTAACAATATCTTCATCATCTGTCATTTGTTCTGTAATTAAGTGTCCAATATATTTTAACTTATTACAAAGACTAAGATTAATATCTTGATATTGTTACACACATTCATGCCCCCCTCAGGGTGAATTCCAATACGTTTTTAATAATCAACAGGCCTAATTCTTAATCTCCAACACTTCAGTTAGGCTTTATAAATAAATACTTGCAAAACAAATGGCATTCCCATCCGCCTGAGCCATATGTGTTTTTAGCTTATAAGCTAATGTGAGCTTGAAATACATTTGACTGGATGCATAATTATACTGAAAATACACACATGAACATGCCTGAAGTTCACAAACATCATGTGGTGCACTTGAGTGTGACATCACGCACTAATGCGCAAAACAAACCTATAGGATCACACCTTAAATGTTGCTCTACAGCTGATCTGACTGACGGGACAGACTCACTCTTCCACTGCAAAGATTATGCATAATGACACGTCGAGGGAACATAGAAAATAGACTTGTGCACTTATTATGAGATCCAATGGGCTTGTCATAGAGAGTAACATATTAGAGCTGAAATAAACCCTATGAACCCAAGTATTTCATATGTGTTTCATGCAGCACGTGTATGTACTCTATCTATTAATTTGAACCTTTACTTTTGACAGATAGAAAATATCTACATTATTTATAGTATCAGTAAAAATATCGTACAGACATTATTGTTGCTCTACAGATTGATCCTTATGATTTTGGTGACAAAATGTTTACATCTAGCCCCTTAAGATGCTGACATTTGTGGTTTAGTGTCCAATGTGTCAAATGTCTCAGCAACTATAGACTACAATTGAGGTTGATGCAGAAAATGTACAAAATGTATTTACAAATGTATACATATGAAAATAGCTTTGTCATTATGAAAATGTTTACTTTATTTGACCATCATCGTATATATTTGTTTTACATTTTTTTATAAAATGTTATATGGGAGTCGAAGTTGACAAGTGACTCTAAATTGTTTGTGTGTGTGTGTGTGTGTGTGTGTGTGTGTGTGTGTGTGTGTGTGTGAGAGAGAGCGTGTGTGTATGGGGGACACGTCTGGCCACAGCAATGGCAACAGAAGGGCTCCCCTGTGTTGCCTTTTTCCTTTTCAAGCTGTCCCTTTACCCCCACCTTAGTTAAACCCACCTACACCACACACACACACACACACACACACACACACACACACACACACACACACACACACACACACACACACACACACACACACACACACACACACACACACACACACACACACACACACACACACACACACACACACACACACACCTTTCCTGACTGCTGGTTTTTGCTCATACTCCCCTTCTGCGCACAGAGCAGTGAGCAAAAGCCAGCTGATGGCAATATTTGTATGTTTGTTAAGAGAGGCCAGAACCGTACATATTATCTGACACGTGAGGTCCACCTGTGTCTGCACTCTCTGCCCTGCGTGGCCCCCGACCCACCCTCTGCTGCCCAACCACACACTCCACCATCTGGGGAGACATGCAGGGTGAGAGAGGGGGAAAGAAGAGCGAGCAGATGAGGGAGGGCGTCAGTGTGCCAGAATGTCAACACGTTTTAAATTAACATCAATATATCTACATCACATGTACATGTTGGAATTTTAAACATAGGATACTTTTGTATGTGAAATAAGAGAGATACAGGTGATGGAGGAAGAGGAGGAAGCACCCTTACATTTGAAGGACAAACCTGTGCAAGGAAGCACAAACTCATCATCACTCTTAACAATTTAAAGCGCTATAATTGGAGAGCTCATAACAATGGCTTAAAAAAACCTCCACAGGAATTCCAAAAATAAATTGCATCAACGATCTGAGCCTTAAATGTCCACTGAACATTTTTGTATACACGAGACGGATCAGCTGTTGAGGAAAGGTTTCCATCACATGCTGTGCAGCTGTCAGATCCTTCCGGTTGTAAACAGCTTAAGATGCAGCAATGTTCAGAGGCTGACCCTGCTGACCTATACAAGTTCCTGCTCAGCTGCTCAGTAACTACCTTGTTTATAAACAATAGGCTTACATATAATGTATAAAAAATAGGCCTACACAAGTAACTTAAGACAAAGATAACATCTCATGAACTGAATAATAACGCTCCTCTACAAAAGGGAACACATCATAAAAAAATAAGGAAGGGAGATAAGAATCTATATTGAAAGTGTACAGTAAAGCTGTTATAGTTTTGATAGTTATTAGTTTTAGAGCGTTGAAATGAATGAATGAATATATTGTTAAAGCATGGCCTTTTACTTAGGGATATGGAATTTGTTTCTGTGTTTTTCTTTTCCAAGAGACCAGACAACACATTCTTCCAAACCAAAACTTTCATAAATATTCCTAGTCATAAAATCTTCACAATGGGGAATGCCAAAACAAATGCAGTAATAAACCATTTCTAGAGATCCATAACATAAATTGAAATTTTCAGAAATGTCTCCCATGATGTTCTTTATTTCTTTATTGTCTCAACTTTACTGTTATTTTTATTCTGTCGTGTTAAAATATAAAAACACAATGTAGAAATGCAAGCATGAACAACATAACATGTAAGCAAAAGTGTATTTAATTTACCTCCTGCACTCCTGCAATAATAATGTGTATATTTCTACATAGGCTTTAAAATGTATATATATATATATTTTAAATGTATTTGATTTGATTAAGAACCTCAAATTAAAACGTAAGTAGGCGACATAACCTAAATCTCGTACATTCCATAGATAGAACGTCTATGGATAGAACACAGCATTAACAGTGTATGATTCTCGCGATGGTTGGCTTATTAGCCGGCAGACACACGGGATGTTGGAATGGGATGATGAGAGAGCAGAACCAGAAACACACACACACACACACACACAAACACACACCGAGCAGAAACCGTTAACAACAAAAAACTGGAGGACGAGGCGAGACGGTAGGTTGCACGTGTGTCTGTGTGTGTGTGTTAGTCTTGTGTGTGTGTGTGTGTGTGTGTGTGTGTGTCTGTGCGTGACAAAAAAAGGGGGTTTGCCGTTTCTCTGCGTGACGTCACGAGTTTTCCTGAAAGTCAAAACAACCGTTGGCTGCGGTTAACGTCAGCGCCTCGGAAATCCGTTTAATGTGTTAGCTTTATTATTATTTCGGTCAACGCCTCGTTTTTACCTTTACTGCGGCGTGTGTTCATTAATTCACTCAGAAAAGAGGAGGAAAAAATAACCCGGGCGGTTAGTGGAGAGCAGGTGCACCGGGAAATACCACAACACCTGCAGCTACAGGTAATTGTTAGCTAGGCACACTTTAGTGACTGTAAACATCACATACACTCAGCCAAAGCTACTTAAATAATGTGTGTTTATTTCGTGTTAATGTAAGTTAGGTGGGGGCGTTACCGGGGGGTTGATGGGTGACTTGGAAATGATACTCAGTATTTCCTTGAAATGGGTTTAAAAAAAAGGTTTTCACAACACCCATAACGTCTGTCATGCTGCATGCAACATGCGTCAGTTTGTCATCTGCAGTGACGTAGATGATGCAGTGCTGGTGTATCAGAGGTGGGAGAAGTACTCAGATCTTGTACTTAAGTAAAAGTAGAAGTACCAGAGTGTAGAAATACTCAGTTACAAGTAAAAGTCATGCAATTCAAATGTTACTCAAGTAAAAGTACAAAAGTATTGGCATCAAAAAATAGTCAAAGTACTCAATATGCAAATTGGCCCATTTAAAAAAAAAAATATATTATATGTTTTTTGATTATTGTTATTGATGCATTAAGTGTTATTAAACCTCCTAAAGGTGCAGCTTTTAATTATATTGTATACTGCAGGGCAGCTTGTGAATTTACTCCAGGTGTAACTCAATTGTTATTTAAGTGTTGTCTGTATTTCACATCATTAAGACATTCTACAATGTACAGTAACTAAGTATAACAAATACATGTAGTGGAGTAGAAGTACAAAGTAGCAACAAATTGAAATACTCATGCAAAGTACAAGTCCTTCAAAATTGAACTTAAGTATAATACTTGATTAAATGTACTTAGTTACTTTACTGGTTTTGTTTGACCAGATAAAATGGGTTAAAATAGTTGTCATGTAGAACACCATGCTCTCTGCCATGCTGCATGAGTCATGCGTCAGTTTGCCATAACAGTGACGTAGAGAGGATGCAGTGCTGGTGTCTACAATTAGATTCAATTCAAATAGCTTTATTGGCATGACCATAACGACATACAGTATTGCCAAAGCTTTGTACAAGTACAACATCTATACATACATACATTACATGTTACTTATACAGATACATTTGGAATGCACTGTTATGTTCATAAACACAGCAAGAATAACATGCTTTCTTTACAAGGAAAACAATATCATTTTTTAACATGAACTTTTAGTGCATTTTAAAACATAATTTGGTTGAAAATACTTCTGTACTTGTGATCTTTTGAAGGCAGGACATTTAATTGGTTATTATTTGAATACTTCCTTTAACAGTGACTTTCTGTGTGATGTATGCAACTGTATATAATCCAAAAGTAATCAAATGTTTATGCTACAGAAGAGAGCTGAAAGAATGGTAAATAGTTCGGATGTTCTCAAACCAACCAACACACTGTCTATACATTTACTTTCGTCAAAATGCTTTGATATAGTTGATCTTAAAACTGCAAAGAAAATGCATGAACCACAAGTTGTTTAGCTTCTGCATTCAGACACTGTCTAGATTCAGAATTCCCATGAGCTTTTTTGTGTTTTTTACTTTTAAATGAATTCCTATTTATTTGTACTGCATTCTTTCTTTGCAAAATTGTAGTCAAAGATATATATATATACCGGTATATATATTTAGTTCACATCTTGTTTTGGTCTTATACTTTATGTACTTTACTTCTATGCAAGATGTGTTTTGGCTTATAGACAATCATTATATTTAAGATCTTAAAACTGTAGAAATGACAAAGACGTAATACATCCAGTGTTAATAGAGTGTAACACGAGGTCCTGCCTAATGATGGCTTTCCCTTTAGGAAGAAGCTTGTGGGCTCAATGATGCTGATGTCAGCTTGATTTGGCTTTGAAGAGGCTTGAGGTGAGATTAGGGGCTTTGAGGTATGCTGTCCTGACGTGGAGGCAATAGTAACTACAGGTATCTGATCTGACCTGAGCCCTCTTCTCTGTACATTCTTTGTACTTAAGATCCACACCACCCATTTTGAGCTTTATAGCCCATTTTTAGAGGTGTATCGAGACGGTTTCAGTTCTCAAAAACACCATTCATATTTGACGTATAGTTAACATGCACAGATTAGTTCTAATACTTAGTGTGCAAAGATATGTGCTATGCTGTTTAATGTTACAATGTTACAGGGACTGGGATGAATACAGATCCCACTGTTCTCATTACATAAAGATAATTATCTTTTTGACTCCCAATGGGTTAACTTGCTTTCATTATCGCATTGTATCGCACTATATTGAATCTATCCCCTGTATCATGATATCTTACCATCTTATCCCAAGTTTGTTCCAAAACACAGCCCTACCAATATCATGAAGTGTGTCGAGCCAATGATTAAAGCTAATGTTCAGAGATTGATTCTCAATCTACTCGGTTCAGTTCATGTCTACTCCGTCAGCTGTATTTACTGTAGGCCAAGGTTTTATTAAGAGGCAGTGACGCATTTCCAAGCAGTGATTTGTTATTGGTTTATTAATAGTTGGTTTACTGGTTTTCAAAGTTGTTTGGGAACACAGGAGCTCAGTCAACCGTGCCTTGTTGTTGAGCTCTAAAACGTGATATATTCAGATAAGAAATGGAGCTTCCAGATCTGCCAATACTTCTCCTCCTTTTCACCGACAGAACTGACCACTGACACTAATGCTGAGTGTATCAGAGTGACCACGGCTTGTAAACAGCACCGTTATGTTCATGCTTAATGTTTTAGTGTCGGAGCAGAATTTTGATTGTTTAACTTGTTCTACTTGCCATCCTTAGTTGCCTCGCAGTGCCTCTCGATACGTCTAGACTGATGTATCGGTGTGTGAGCTGACGGTCTGGTCCCTGCGCTCTCTTTCTCTCATTATTTCCTGAGTTTATTTTCTCAAGATCTCCCTCCTTGTCATTTTTTCATTTTTGTTGTTGCCACTGGAATGAAATATCATAAAGTAAATGTTGTCTGGACTGTGCTTCCCCTGGCATGGTGGGTACATCACAGCAGTTCATATCTCCATGGCAACAGCTGCTCTGGTGAAAAGGGGTTGCCACTGTCTGGACATGGTGCTCCTGTCGTCTCGTAAGGCATGAAGCGTTCGTTCCACTATAGTCTCGCTCTTAAAGCATAATCCAGAACTGTACAGTACCTTACAAATGATTCAATCCCTTTAAATGTACTGGGGCCCAGTATTATACAAATAAATCTCCTAGATCAGTGCTAATTTGTTTCGGCTAAGCGACATTTATCTTTAGATAACTGTACATACTTGATGTTTATTTCATTTGGATCACTGTGTACCAAATCACCCAAAAATCCTCAAACTCATGTCTTGGGTTCTCTTGGAGCAAATGAGTGGTTTTTCAGTTCAGGTTAATCTACTGTCAAAATCTCCTTCTTTTTGGTTTACTGAACCTTGCACCAGGGCTGGGGTTGAAGGAATCCAACCCTCTACTTCCAAATAACCCTGAGTAACCAAGCCCATCCTCTTGGCAACAAAGCAAAGACAAACAAATACTTCTTTCCCATAGAAGGGTACAGTAAGTGGAAAGTATCAGCCCTTGTGACCAAGATGTGTTGTACTACTCAGCAATTCTTTCGTCTGGTTTCAGATTGGTCACAATGATACTGCTGCCTCAACATAAAAAAAAGCTCTGTGTCACCTAGGGTGTGTGAGTGAGCATGCACGTCTCTCCCAGCCTCAGTTGTGACGCTGCAGTCCCTCCGGTGTCGGCAGCAGTGCAGACACTTGCCGTTCTGAATGCTGATTTCTTCTGGATGTCTACAACTGCAAGCCGCCGTCGTGCTGTTTTCCATTCAAGCTGAGCAGCGTAGTGTTGTAGCGCGTTGTGTAGTAGGGTGCATTCGAGGTGAGCGTGGCAGCTATGCAGCGAGAGGGGGAGAGGGGAAGGGGGGGAGAGGGGAAGGAGAGCGGGAGTGAGGCGACAGAGAGGTGCAGAGATTTGGGCAGAGAGAAAGAGAATGTGAGAGCATCCCTAACTGTTGCTATTTATAGCCGAGCTCTACTCCACAGTCCTGAGATGCTCTCCCACATATAGACAAACCAGCCTACACACACCAAATCATTTGACATGCAGAAACACAGCGAGCACAGAAAGGTAGACATTACTATCTGCTCATAAAAAGGTCTATGAATGAATGAGATCTCTGAGGGGTATTTGTATGGTGAAGAAGGTCAGCTATTGCTTCATCAAGAGCTCTGCAATCATTCATCCTGTTTATCAGAGAGAGAGAGTTAGCAATAGGAAGAGGAACTGGGGGTGGGAGCATGTGTCCTCACAATCACTTGTTTGTCTTGTCAGATTGTATGAAAGGGGAGAGAGGGAGCAGCAGAGGACGAGAAATATAAATCTTTCCTTTTTTCTTTCTCTTTTTTTGTTTTCTCCTTTCACTTCCTTCCAGGCTGAGTCACTACTGGTGAGGAGGAAGGTCTGGAGAGGAGGAGGAGGAGGAGGGGGAGAAGAAGAAGAAGAAGGCAGGGAGATAAGCAACAACAGGAAGGAAAGCGACACACACACAAACGTTACACACACACACCTCGTGTTTGTGTGTCTGAGAGGGAGACTGCGCGATCGAGAGGGTGAACAGGAAAGGAAGGGAGGGAGAGTGACGCGGAGGCTGGGAGAGCCGCCCCCCCCCTCCTCCTCCTCCTCTACTCCTCTCCCTCTCTCCTCCTCTCCTCTTCTCCTCCCCTCCTCCCTCCCTCTCTCTCTCTCTCTCTCTGTGGAGCAGGCGTGTAGCGGCATCACACTCGGCGTGAAGGAACCATGAGCGATGTCACCATCGTTAGAGAGGGATGGCTCCAAAAACGGGGTGAGTACATCCAGTACCTCTCTTCTTCTGCCTCTCGTCTAGACTGAGGGCCCAGCCGTGCCTGTCCACATGTGCCGGTGGGAGGATGTGAGTGTTTGCGATTGAGTGTGTGTGTGTGTGTTTGTGTGTGTGTGTGTGAGTGTGAGTGTGTGTGTGTGTGTGTGTGTGTGTGTGATTACATGGATGTCTGATGCTCTAGTGTACGAGTGTATATGCTTTTCCCCCCACAGGGATGTGTCTTTTTTACTACAAGCTTGGCCGGCTGTGTTTGTGTTAAGCCTCTGCGTGCTTCAGGCAGGTTGTGTCTGAAAAAGAGTGTGTGCATGTATTTGTATGCACAAGTGTGTGTGTGTGTGTGTGTGTGTGTGTGCAGTAAATAACATCTACAAGGGCTGTAGTCACACTGCTGATGCATAGTGTTCTGTCAGGCTAACAAGTCACTAGTCTGTGAAATCAAGTTAGTCATGTCTCTCTGAAGTATCACTTACCATAGTTGTGTTTTTGAAGTTGTGAATGGAGTCATATGACATGGGGTTAAAGGGTCATTGGGATGGAGTCGAGGGTGGTAAGGACAACACATCCTGTTCTCGACCAAACAAATAGGAAAAGGTTAAAGAACATTTGCAATAGTTAAAGAACGTGCAGCAAAGATGATACTCCCCTGTTCTTAAATATCTAGGCTTTCTGTTCATGTTAAATGATGGTGCTGCAACAGGTGAAACGTTATTTGTAGCGGGGTCAAACTGTCACAAAGGGATACACATACAGCAGCTCTGTGGTGACAGTAGAGCACTGTGGGACTTTAACATGATGTACATTGCCCCCAAAACCACATTTGCATGGGGGTATTGTCTGCTGGTGCTGATGCCTCCAGGCACAATGTATGTGAATGTGTGTGTTTTAGTGAGCGAGCCTCAGTGATAGAATAAGGGGGATTTCTAGACTTTTTGGCCAATGAGCATCATCCCCCTGACTATGTGATGGTGTCTAGGAATGTGTAACACAAACTGTTGCACAGGAAGTGACATAAATACATAACAGACAGCAGGCTTCTGGGTAATGTAGGCTAACACTATTGCCCAGCAGGAGAACAGGTTGGAAACCAGAGTGCTCAGAGTGGATGCTCTCTCACACTCACACACATAGTGCACACTCTGTATTGCTTGAAGTGGACGGGGGGATCTTCGTGTGTGGGTCTGTGTGCCAGCATGCCAGTGTGATGCTCAGACAGTCGTCTCTGCATATTAAGAGGAAGCATCCCCAGTCACGACTCAGCGCTACAGGTGTTCGTCAGTGTGTGAGAGAGGTAGAGAAAGAGGTAGTTGAGAAAGGAGGGGGGGTTTGTTTGTGTCAAGAATGTGTGTGTGTGTGTGTGTGTGTGTGTGTGTGTGTGTGTGTGTGTGTGTGTGTGTGTGTGTGTGTGTGTGTGTGTGTGTGTGTGTGTGTGTGTGTGTGTGTGTGTGTGTGTGTGTGTGTGTGTGTGTGTGTGTGTGTGTGTGTGTGGTGTGTGTGTGTGTGTGTGTGTGTGTGTGTGTGTGTGTGTGTGTGTGTGTGTGTGTGTGTGTGTGTGTGTGTGTGTGTGTGTGTGTGTGTGTGTGTGTGTGTGTGAATGCTGACTCACTGTCCAGGTCGTGATACAGCAAACACTGCAGTCAGTCTTTAGACAGCTTTTTGCTGAAAGGAGAGACGGAGAAAGGGGGTGAACCTTTTTGTAATTGTACGATAACATTTCGTTATTTTTGTGACTTTTGGAGAGTCCTACTTTCTAACACTGTCCTCAAACAATAGACAAAAGTTCAACAGAACTCTGTACTTCTTAGAAGGCTTTAAAATAAATAAATGATACAGATTGTGCCTGAGGAGTACCTTAGTTGAGTTACCTATTGTTTGTTTATAAAACCATGCAGTTTAGATGAATAGTGATGTATCCTTTTTTGCGTTAGTTATGGGATAAGTTGAGGTAATAAATAATCTTCTCTTTATGTACGCAGGTAAATGCTTGTCAGAACAGGTTGTGTTTTCTTATAATGAATCATTTTACGTTAGACTAATTGGTTACATACGATATGCCTCCAATATTCTGGTGCTGGAAAAAAAGTTATTTAACGATTCTTTGTTGTAAATAGTTTTTCTGCTCTCATTTCCACTCAAGCAGGTTTTTCTTAAAGTTAGCAGTCTGGTCAAGTATTTGGTAATACATTTTTACTAACTTTAGTAAGAATGATTATCATATTTATATCGACATTGTCGTATGTTTTATTCTAAGGGCAATACTTCTGGTTATCTGGCAGTTAAGGATTCATGATCGGCCCCTTTATCAAAGTTACAGCACACGTTTAGGTGTCGAAATATGCAGACGGGTTTTTTATGGTGTTGTTCTTTAACGAAATTACACCAAGTTCATCCTACCAAGGGCTGAGTTTATTTCACCGTTATTTGACCAGAATGAGTAATTCATAGTGAGTATGGTTGAGGTGTGTCACTGTCTATTTGATACTCTTTAACTTTGTTCTTTTTACTCTTATCTTTTGTGCTCTGGCTAATGGCTTCGGTAATAAAGTGGAATGATTGATTGATTGAAAGTGTTTCCTCGTTCAAAGCACACAGTATCGGTGATGAGTTCTTGCTCGTGAACCCTCATGGGGATGCTTGCCTCTGCATGTTTTATGAAGGGACTGACAGTGTGCATCTGTGAGTGTGTAGCTTTTGTTGGACAAGCCACTAACCATTAGAATAATTGGTCAAACATGACAGATGTGTACAGCACAATGTAACACGCTCTAGACTCAATGATCAATTTACACATGTCAGAGGATGCTGATCACTAGCAGCGGTGTGTATTTGCATTGTTTTCAATAAGCATGTCGTGCAGCACCAGCTTCAGGAGTATGTTAGACTGTCAGTAGGGAATATAACACAGAATGGAAAGGAAGTAATAGAGGCTTTTCTTACATCAATGATTTAAAGCGTTTAATGTGTTGAGAGCGATAAGAGATAAAACACAGAACCATCACGAATGAAATAAATTAGCATAAGAGAAGAAAAAATGAATGCATGTAACAAATATAATGGGTGTCTCTGTGAATTCTAAGCTTTCAGATCAGCACATCATCTTTGAGACAAACCTCAGGAACATCTTTTCAGAGTACAGTACACAGTGTCCTCAGATGACCGTGCCTCTCAGTACTCACATGCTCACTGCCATGGCGATGACTTTTCTTCCTCCTTTCATTAAACCAGAATGAGGTGTGCTTTCGGCTGCATCACTTCTTTATCTTTGGAGCTAATGAACAGTGGATAGATACATGTTGTACCAGAGTGATTATGGTATAAAGGAAAATATCAAATAGAGCTGCAACACATGATTATTTTCCAAATTAATAAACTATCAAATGTCAGGAAAATTGTGAACAAATTTCCATCCCAGATATTGCAATGTGAGGTTTTAAAATGTCTTGTTCGTCAGCCAAAGAACCCAAAGATATATGAACTATTATAAGGAGGAGGGGGCGGCTCTATTTAAAATATGATATGAAACAGAAATCCATATTTGAGAGACTGAAAACAGCATTGATTGCCATATTTGGAAATGAATTGTAAGGATCAATCGATTATAAAAATGGTACCAGATCTATATTTCTATGGATGAATCGTTGCAGATTTGCTTGAGAACATTCTGTTCTTAATGATAAAGACTGAGTGAAAGAGAAATCCAGGGCGCAGGTGTGAGCTACAGGTGTAGCCTTGGTCAACATTTGTCTTGTGTTCAATGTGTTATCTGGCAGTGAAAATCAGATGTGGCTCTCAGAACTCACAAGGCAGTTTTTTTTTTTTTTTAACTTCACTTCATTTCCGCCAGGCCAGGAGTTCAGCTTCTGTCGGCCCATGTGAGGCCACAGAGGTCACAGTCAGACGCTGTATTCGAGGAAACTGTTACCTCCACCAGCATCAGGGCAACAGATGGCCAGCAGCGAGGAGACACGGGGAGAACACCATCATATTTTCTGTTCTCCGGAAGTCTTTCTCTGTCTTCTTTCTGAATCATCTAAGATCAATGAGTCTTTGTTTACCTAGAGGGATTACGCTATCGTACCATTTGCACATAAGATGAAGTCAAGAGGAAGTTCCACATCCATTCACAATACACAGTATATTCTTAATTGAAGACAAATATTACTAAGCCTCTGTGCTTGAGTCTCAAGGCTTAGATAACAGATTGATGTCATATTCTGCAGTTCATTCTTTTGAAATAGTATGTTCAAGTGTTTTGTTCTTAAATTGCAGATAAATTACAAGTTTGGTTGTTGGTCACATCGATACTGACATGTATTATACATGTTGCAGTACCAAATTACAATGCTGCATCCTACCCATTAACTTCCATATTCTGCATGTCTTCCTGTTTGTTTGTTTTTTAAATCTCCACATTCCACTCTTGCTCCTTTTTATATGTGTGCATTGTTTGTTTGCATATCACATCTATCACATGCAGGATTGTGATTTAGTTTTGGGCTTTTCCACAATGGAAACAGTCGGGAAGATATTCAAAGTCTGACCTTATGAATATCCATGAGTGTCTGAATCTCTGCAAAGTAACACCTGCCCTTTTTTAAATATGATGTTCTCTCCTTTTCATCTCTACACTTTTAAGAACGTATGGGATGTACTGTATACGTTGGACTGCTGTTGTGGGGTTCATTGGGTGCAGTGCAGTCAGGCAGCCATCTTTGCTCAGTGAGTTCAGTGGGTTCAGTGTGCTGGAGGCTGGATCAGGTGGCAGTGCCAGATCCCTGATATCAATCACCAGCCGCCGCTGCTGCTGCCGCCACTGTCTGCTGTGTCGCCCTTCTCCTCTCCTCTTCCTCCTCTCCTCTTCCTCCTCCATCCTGCCTCTGCTGTAGAGCCTGTCAACACAACTCACCCCTTTTTATTGCAATTCACACTCTCTTTCCCTCTCGGTCTACGCATGTATCTCCTTCCATCTCCCTACTCTCCTCTCT